CCTTCCTTCCTTCCTTCCTTCCTTCCTTCCTTCCTTCCTTCCTTCCTTCCTCCCTCTTTCCAAAAAAATCTACTCTTCAATTCAGTTGGGGATTAAAATACAGCTACCCAGTAACCTTGCTCGGCGAGGTGATTGGTAGGAAAAACATGCCTGCCCTTCAGTCAATGCTACATGCTACAACACAAATAGCAAGTAGGGTGACCATGAGGGAGACCCAGGTGCCGGTTTGAATCCTCTCTCAGGTTGTTCTGAAGATAGCATGCCTTTTTGAAAACAATGAAACCAAAATGGTTTCCTCAGCCACAGGAAGCATTAGTATTACTTTCCATCCAGGAACCGAAAATGTGACTCCTTGGGTCAGGAATGGCAGCTGAGGGTGTGACTCCAAGACAGTTGCCTTTGCAGCTTTTGCTAATTTTTTATTGTATTTTGGTAAGTGGACCATTTATACCTAGATTTTATAATGGTGCTGTGAAGAGAGCTTTCTAAAAGGATTCTTCCCCCCCACAGCCCCCATGAGAGGTTGTTGTGTTCCAATTCTACTTGCGAGGGAATTGAAAGGAATTGGAAGGCAATCCATTTTCTGCTTTAGTAGAATCCTCCTCTCCCTTTCAGGTTCAAGATCTTGTCCTACTCATCTAAGGGAGCACAGCTGCCTTTGTACAGTCTACAAACAAGCTGGCCGCATGTTAGTCTAATGCAGTTGGGCCAATCGAGCCCCATGAGTCACTGCAGAGCTACCAGATCTGGACTGTAAAACTCTGGATGACCATCGAAGAAAGAATGCTCATGCTCGCTGTGGTCTAGCAGCCACCCAGACTTGGGCAGTCCAGATCTGGTACCCCTAAGCAACCCCTACGCAGTTGCTTTATGCTGGGCCAAACCAGAAAATGGGTTGAGCAAATCATGGTTCAGTATGTTGTAGAAAACAGCCAAGAGTGCACTTAAAAAAAAAATTAGACTGATGCAAACATCATAAGGAACCCTTTCGATGATGCAGCTAGTGTTGGGATAGGATTGAGGAGTCCCAGTTCAACTTTTCACCCAGCTTCTAGCTAAAAGGGTGACTTTGGCTCTCTCTCTAACTTATTCTTGGGATTGCTGTGGTGGGGATGCAAAGCTGGATGATTGTGTAAAGCGAACTCCTGAAGGAAAGCCAAAGTAACACACAACTATCATTTGTTTTTTATTTGCATTTTTAAGTGTCTTTATATGGGTGGCCATATAAACTTAATAAAATTAATTAATTAATTACAAAGAAAAAAATGCACAATCTTCCATGTAAAACCATCACAAAATGAACATCCCAGGGATAACAGGTCTAGATTTGCCCTTTCCCTATTGTGACTCCCCACTTGCAGCTTGGAGTTG